GCAGGTACAGGAATGGGACTTCATTTCGATTCAGGAAAAAAAGGCTTGTTTATTTCCCGAGTTTAGCATGTCAGCTGTCCCCAAAGTTAGCCTACATGAACTTTCAGAATTTGCTTGACTATTTTTCTTAAAATAAACAATTGCTGAATCTCTTCATATAGAAGACTTAAAATATATTAAAAGTGAGAACATCTATCTATCTATCTATCTATCTATCTATCTATCTATCTATCTATCTATCTATCTATCTATCTATCTATCTATCTATCTATCTATCTATCTATCTATCTATCTATCTATCTATCTATCTATCTCATATGTACATTTATGCAACCATAGAGTTCCATGTATAGAATGCTGAAATTTTTGAAGTCGTAAGAGGTGAAAGCGTTTACAGAGCGTAGAACCCAAGAATAAAGAGAGAAAGAAATATGGTGGTTTATATTATAACGAGGAGTTTTTTTTTTCTACGGCGCCAAAAATTCTTTCAATTGCGGAAGTTTCACAGGGTTGCTGGTGACTCGCTGCAGGACACATAAAATCTGATCAAATTCAGAGACGCGTTGAGTGTTTCATGCAGCGCTTTATACTCCTCCAAGCCATTTCACGTTCCCATTCCCCTTCAATCTCTCCTCGGAAGGAGTTCCCTCTTTTATATTTTATAAATTAAAAACAAAAATCTCTAAATCAGACCCACATTCTGGTCTAGTCCACAGCTTTCACGCATTCACTTTCTACACATTTTCTACAATGGAAAAACGCGTATAGGCTACAGCTTTCACGCATTCACTTTCTACACATTTTCTACAATGGAAAAACGCGTATAGGCCTTGTCTAAGTTTTTAAGGTGAGTCATTGCATTAGCCTATAAAAGTTTCTTTCTGATCACTTTCATGTTTTATTCGGGTAACATAGCTTGCTACTAAATCGTGTAACAAGATCTTACGTGTTTTGAAAAACTAGGCTATTTTTTTCCTCTAGTAAATAGCCTACATTTTTATTAAAACGTAGGAGCCTAGTAAATTTTAATTGTTCATTAGCTTATTAGAATAGCATAAGAACTTTACTATGCTTAACAACACAAGTTTAAAGCAGATTGCTGGCGAAAGCTCTATATCCAGCAACCTCTATCCCCACCCTCCTTTCTGCGATGTCTTGTTCTTTCCTCCTTCTCTCTCTTACTCTCCCTTTCGTACACGAGCAGACATGTGAGTATTCTGCAGCGACGGACAGATTCCTCGGCGATTTTTTAAAAAGGTTTCATTGTCTGCAGTCAGGCCACGGATTCTTCACTTTCCAATCTAGATTCAGACCTATCTGTTTAAATGTGGACGCGCTTAATATATTATCATGTGACATTCATTTCCGGGCGGGGCTAGGAAATAGCTTAGTTCTTAAGGACGTGCTTTGCTTTCTCTATGCACGGAATTGTTCCGTTACTTCATTTAACTTCTTTACGGCCCTAACTCTGATGCCTACCAAAAGGCAAACGTGGGCAGGATTCGCTTTTAACTGAAGGGGGCCTCGTGCGTTATTTACATCACAGAAAATTAAAATAACTGATAGGCATATAATTACATAGAACAGAGCTACATTGCGACCGATTAGACTAGGCTATTTTAGTTAGTTAAATAATGTTTTTTTTTTTGTCAAAATAATGCCATAATTCTATATCTGCCGCCCCCTTGAGTAGATAGGCATTCGTATTTTTTTTATTTTATTTATTTATTTATTTATTTATTTTTTTTTTAGTCAGAGCAGAATTGCCTGGAAACAACTTAATACTGAATTCTGGTTATTCGGGCTAAACAATTATCAAACATACCAATTATAGAGTCGTTGAGAATTATTGATGTATACTGCTACGTCCTGTCGATTAATTTTCCAGTTATCAATCTCAAATTAAATTTATTAAATTTATTAAAATACACAAAATTAAACCGCAATACAAATAAAAATCACTTAGCCTAACCTACCAATTCGTCATCCTTTCTTTTTGGGAAATTGTTTTATTTAATTCTATATAGGCTTATTATTTTTGTGGTTTAAATTAATATTCTTCCCTTGAGACATTAGCTGTGTTTGCTCTTTCTGTGTGTTTTTGCGGACATGTTGCTTTATCTTTTTCTGTATCTGTTAAATATTCAAAAGTCTTTAGCCTTTTTTCTATCAGCCTTTGTGGAGGAGTGGTTCTGTTTATCTCAAACACTCAATCAGTGATGAGATAACCGAGGCACCTTAAATTAACATGTGTTTATATAATATTTGTTAACTTTGTTAGCATAAATGACAAGAAATTTAATTTGTCGAGCCGTTATGCATCTGATTATTAGTAAATGCAAACTGCCATATAGACTATTGTGCTATATGTCAAACCCCCTAAAAAACTAAAAAAAAGAAGAAAAAAAAGAAAAGAAAAAGTATTTTAGAGTCCTTGTTGTGTGAATCTTGTCTGCTTCTCACTCAGTTATATAAGTTCACTGCAATGAGGAATACTTTTTCTGTATTTCAAATATCTCTCTCTCTCTCTCTCTCTCTCTCTCTCTCTCTCTCTCTATATATATATATATATATATATACACACACACACACACACACACACACACACACACACAGGAGCAATGCATGGCTTTATTGTTGGATATTTCCTGGATATGGGAATGAAAGGCATAAGGCTACATTATATTTATAATTACAAAATACAATGGCCTACAGATATACAAGGAAGAGAAGTGGTTTACATGTTTGCAAATGTACTTTATGTTCTACGTATCTAAATATATCTTATTTTGTTTTAGTAATAAGCTCACCTCTCAATTGAGTTATCTTAAGATATATGTAAACAACTATGGATGCATTGGATTGATATTAGACTGTTGAATGTAGTTTTTGCACTGTGGGTATGGCAAAGACCAGCTTGTGAACTATAGATGTGTCATTTAGTGACCATTAGCCTACTTGAATTGATAGAGCAAAAAATGCTATTTTTAGTGTCTTATCACCTTTCTAAGATCATTGATTTCTTCATTTATGCACCTTCTCTCATTTAAATATTCTTGCACTGACCCATTTATTGGCAGAAGAAAAAAGAAGAAAGATATGAATCAGGATACAAATCAGGAAGAGTTGCTGTGTTTTGTGAGAGAAGACTCCGTTTTGTTGCACAAAATTATATCTGTCACCGTCATGGTTGTGAATATCATGGTCATTTATCTGAAAACTGCATTAGGACTCATTACAAAAGTATCAAGTCTTGGCCTCTATTGGGTTTTCATTTTATTATATTATGTTTGATTTGACTCTGTTGATGTAGTGACAACAATGCTTTTTTGACTGTTAATAATGCCTTAATTTTGACTGTTGTGAATAGAGTGACTGTAACCTCAGTAAATATTGTTGTCTTGTAATGTTTACTCTATCCAAGAACTTCATGTGTGGGAAGAATTATATCAGTAAATAACCCAAGCTTGTGCCCACTCAAAAGGCAGAGAGTCTTCAGAAGAAGTATATTAATTTATTTTTTCTTTTTTTTTTGTTTTGATTAAAAAAAATGTTGTGAAGCAAGCGATTATTAGTAACATATAATCAACGATTTTATCTTAAAACTTAATTCATATAATTAAATTCTATACCTATCATGTCAACATTTTGTGTGGTTATTTAAACATGTTTGAATTGGCTCTTCTACCAGGTATTCAGTTTGATGTACACACACTGATGCTGTGTCATTCTTTTTACAAAAGCAGTTAATTAATTGTTTGTGGTGAAAATATACAGATATTTCATTTTTGTCATTTTATATCGACAGATGCAATTGACACCAGATCATTTGGGGTTTGTAAATGTTGAATGTGTGAAACTTTTATAATTTTTGTAACCTAAAATGTCAGAAGTCTAATAACTCTTTCATATTCCATGGTCAAAAAACGTTATATTTAGCGATTATGCGATATTTAGGTAGCCTATTATTTGACCCAGTAGCCTATTTTTTTTTTTATTGTGGCCTAAAGCATGCATTTTTTTAAATCATATTTGCTTGCGTATTTAATATTTTATTAATATATGCATTGATTTTACTATTAATGCATTTAATGTATCTATTCATATATATATATATATATATATAATTCATAAATATATATATAAAACGATTGTTCTTTTTATCACAGATTTGCAACTCCATAAAAATCCTATAAAAATGCACGCAAAAGTAAATACGTAAATCTAATGTAAAATATGTAAATATAGCCTAAGTAAATCTCTTCACTAAAAAAACGAAATAAATTAAACTCACCACTACACATGCTGGGCAAGGACACTTTACAATATGTGGTTATTTTAAATGTATTGTAATTTAATGTTTACATCTTTGTATGAAAAGTGTCAAAAAGAGTGAAAAAAAAATCTAGATTCTGTCGCATTTCACTTGTAATATTTACCTGCAAGTAAAATTATTATAGACGCTCAACTGGGTTGCTACAATATATACTGCAAAAATATAAGTATATTTTTGATGGTAAAACAACACCATCAGGCCTACAATGGACCGAGTATTACCAAAGTAGCCTATATTCTATTTAATTAAAGTTAAACCATATTGAATAGTAAAACAGACATTTGTGAATGATAGAGACGTGTGGTGAGAATTTGACGTGAAAGAGAATTTTGATTTGCTTTCACAGTTGCATAGCATTCGTAGCTCAGACGTATAATAATTCATATGTAATTTAAACATTTCGATATTTTAGCCAACAATATTCATTCGGAACTCTGGTGCATTTAAGTCACATATGAGACAATATCTGGCAGTGCGCGAGCGGCACATATCAAAGCATTTTCACTGGGATATTTGAAAACGGAGTCGTGTGGTGAACGCCTGCGTGTCCCTTTTAAAACAAATCCAGAGACTGTCAATCATCGCGCATTCCGACCAATCCCAAAGCACCGTTTTTTAAAAGCTGGTTTGCCTGCTGTGCTTTTATATTGCAGTATGGCCTGGTTCGGAGAATTTTACTACCACGGTTAATGCCACAAATCAAGAGGGCAAAGTGAACGGCATGGGACTCACACCAATCTTAACGAACCTGGGTCCGATTCCTGCGTCTGAGAGGTTTACTGGCAATAACTGCACATGCAGATGATACAGCGGGGGAAATGGGGAAGAGTTTTGTTGGTAAATCGTAAACGTTAAAGGTTGGTTGATTTGCCAAACCCTCGTTCAAGCTCGCAACAAAACATGACAAGCCTGTCGCGGTTTAGTGGCTGCCCTCTTTCTTGCGTCAACCCTGGGGAGAGCAATACTGAACCCAGCATGGTGCTGCCACCTTTGGCAGAGGAGCACATGGGGCACCCCACTGGCAGTTCCTTAAAACTCTGCCCCTCGCAAAATTTGCGAGACTACCACGAGACGAGGGCCAGTGCATATGTTGACCACTCGGTTACCCATTTTCCAGACACTGGATACACCAGTCATCGCTTAGAACCAAGTCCTAGGGGCATTATCATTGGGACAAATCTGACAGCAGCAGGCATGCCACCAGTAACTGATCAGCTGGCTCCGAGACCTAACCAACATGGCAATATTGGAAGGTACCGTGACCTCCACAGCTATAGGGATGGCAGGAGCCACGCGTTCTTCACCACGTATCAAGAGCAGGCCCATGGCTCGTCAGACGGAACCCGAGATCTCAGCAGCCAAATGATGTTGGGTCTTCCCGGAGATCTTCTCTCGCGGACGCACCCGTATGGGCAGTCGGTCAATGGCCCCAGGGCCAACAGCCAGCAGCTAGTCACCCAGTTCTTGGAGTTCTATAAGCCACTGAATATGGCCATGCAACGAGGAGGGGGTGACGCCTTCCTGAGGAGCTCCAGGCAGAACCCGAAGCACGAGCTCGTGTGTAAGTGGAGTGACGGCCAAGAAGGCACTGGCAAGCCGCCCTGCGCCAGGAGTTTTGGGACCATGTATGAACTCGTCACCCATGTGACGATTGAGCATGTCGGAGGACCGGAGCACTCTGACTACGTTTGTCACTGGGAGAACTGCCCAAGAGACAGAAAGCCCTTCAAAGCCAAATACAAGCTGGTCAACCACGTCAGAGTGCACACTGGAGAAAAGCCCTTTCCCTGCCCTTTTCATGGATGTGAAAAAGTTTTTGCCAGATCCGAAAACCTCAAGATACACAAGAGAACGCATACAGGTTTGTTAAATAATAATCATGTTAATAATAGTAATATAAAGATAGGCTTCAGACTTTTGGAATTGTTTCTAAATCTTTTTCAAAGTGTTTTACTTAACATTGTTACAACACATTTTTTTAAACGAAGAATTGCCTAAGAATAAATAAATAACATGTTTGATTATTTTATCCCAAAGTAACGTTATATCATATTAAACAACGGTAGCCTATAGTTGTTCAATTATGTTTGCTGTACATAAACACGGATTTTGGCATAGCATCATGTTTAATGTATTTTCAAAATGTTTCTGCATAAAAATAAATGTAGAATTTTTACACTCTATAGAATTTAATAATTTTTCTGAAACACTTAAAATTAAGCGCCCATTGTTTGTTCTAACGTTTGCTGTTCGTATTAGTGGAATATGTTTTTATTTCGTTTTTATAAGCCGTGCTGGTGAAAATCAGTCCACAGGCCAGTTGTTTGGGTGCCTCTCATTCATGCAGTGAAAATAAATAAATAAATTCCAGGGCACCGGAGAGCTGTGACGTAGCGTTTACGCAAGGCGCAGCTGAATTCTCTGCCATGTGCACACGCTCGTGCTTGGCACTGAAAGCTTTGAGATCACTACACTTGAAACTGACGTCACAATAATCCTTAGAATATTACATTTACATTTCAATATACATTTCCCCAATACTGTTTTTTTTTTAAAATATTATTATTTATTTAACTACTAGGTAGGCTATGATTTAGCCTTTATGTAAATAATTTATCGATTAGTCTAATTTAGCTACCAAACCCACAGTTAACTTTATTTTTCTCCTACTAGAAATCAATTAAAATAGGAATTCATCTTTGGCTAATAAAGCACATAAAAATATGAATGAGGTCGACTAACTGACGGATATTAAGATTTATTAGGCTCTTGTTCACTGAATGCATTAGAATTTGAAAATGAATTACTGACGCATAAATTACCTAGAAGCCAACTATTGGTTATGGCATAATTCAACTTATGATAACAGCCTAGTCTGTTTGTTCTTATTTAATTTTTCCTTATAACTGAAATGTATTTGATGCAGGCTGTAGCTCAACCAGCTATATATGCATTTACGCTTCATTTAGGCTATTTAAGCTAAGGCTAAGTCTGTTTTAGCACAGTGTAGGCTAAATCAGGATATTGAATGAGCAGCCATTGCATGGAAACAACTGAATGGAAAATACCACTTTAAAGAATGATAGGGGGGAAATAGGGCTAAATGGATTTTTTTCCCGATTTATCACATTTTGCATGTAGTACGAGAGTGTACGTATAGCCTAAATTTCTCTCCTCGCCTACTAAAAGCTATTGTTCAATGTGTGGAGCAGCACACTTTTTATTTCCTACAACATCCTGCATAACACTAATGACACAATGCACTCAGAACTGATGAGCCATGGTTGACTGTACATCCCACCCGTAACTCGCGTTTCCCCCTCCTCTGCCCGTTTAGGTGAGAAACCGTTTAAATGCGAGTTTGAGGGCTGCAATCGGAGATTCGCAAACAGCAGTGACCGGAAGAAGCATTCTCACGTTCACTCCAGCGATAAACCCTACACGTGCAAGGTCAGAGGCTGCGAAAAATGTTACACACACCCCAGCTCCTTGCGCAAACACATGAAACTCCATTGCAAGGCCTACATTGCCAAAATCGGTGAAGACGACGAGCACTTTGTTGAGGCCAGGTCTCTTGAGGTGGCAGAACAGCAAGAAACACCCGCCTCTACAGTGACGGGATCGATGACGACTCCCTCCCAAGAGACTCTGTCTCCTGAGACGCGAAATGAGTCGACTATGAGGTCACGTTTCCATCACACTTTTGAAAACAGTTTGGACTATACAGCTCACAGGCCACAGTCCCTTTTGGACCCTCTGTTGCTACAACGGGGCAATTATAGACCCGAGTCTGTGCAATACTCATGCAACCAACCAAGCCATACTTTCCCACCTAGCCATAGAACTTTTACGTCCAACTCATCTTTTCAAAAAAGTCTGGTAAATGGCTGGTACACTTGTCATAGCGCCGTGGACACATTTTCACACAAACACTGACTGATGTAGCCTATAATGTGATTCGGCCTTGTACTCGGCGTGTTAAAGCGTGACGGATGACAGCCGAAGTTTTAGTAACTCCTTGTGTAAAATTGTCCTACAGGCTTACAAAATAGGATAGTGCAATTTGTTACTTTACGTGAACTTTATCTGTTGTGTTCTTGTATTGGTGAGACGTCGGTGACGGTGAATTTTCCTAAACTGTAAATAGCTTATTTAACCTTTATTACTAAATGTCTATAAAAGTTAGGCTATAGATAAGTTGCCAAAATAAAATTCTTATATGAAATATAAAATATCTGTAAACAAGATATCAACAGACGGAGTAGAATACATTTCTAAATAATAAAATTAAGTTATTTCTGCACAGAAAAAAGGGCGAGGGCCTATTCCGAGGAGGCAGGACCTATAGTGGAAATGAGAGATTTATCTCTTGAAAAGTTATTCATGAAGTTAATAACATGTGATTTTTTTTTGTAAAGTAGTCTACAACATGTAATTTATAGCCTATGTATTTTCTGTCACCGCTTAAATTTTGGTCGCAGGTTATTACAATAAAAATATATATCGTTTGTCTTTATGTGTGTGAAGGTGACCTGGACGCGGCCTATTATTTTAAGATATTCTCACTATTGGGTGCATTTTTATACCTCAATAATTCTAGTAGCTATAACAGTCATCAGTCCCCTTCATGAGAATGGTTTAATTAAGATTCTACTGTATATACTGTACAATTAATTATGTATTCAAAGTTTCATTAAAGTAGCCTATCTCTATTCTCTTTGATCAGGCTTGTGATTTAAACTTCATGCTTCTCAAAAGAAAAGTACGTGCGTGAGTTCAGTAAGCTTTTGGATTTTATCTGCCTGTTAATTTCACGAATACAACATAGGTGTGTTTAAAAAAAAAATTAAAAAGAGAGTATATATAGCCTACTAGGCCTATAGGCTTTTTATATATGCCTACTTTTAGTACTTTTCAGATTTGTACAATGTCCAAAATATTTATTTTGAGAAAGAAAGCGTTTTCAGTGAAGGCGATTTCGCGGCCAAAGTCACCTCAAATGAACTCCGGCAGGTTCCAATTTAACAGCCAGTTTAACTCGTCGTGACTGTATTCTTTTATGCGAACTGTAATTTCGTTTACTATTAACTTTTATTAAAACTGCAATATGACAGGGCATGAATACGGTGTGAGCGAGGATATTGGCCTTGTTCTACCTGCACGCATGCAAGTTGCTTATTGTACGAATGTGTTGGTTTTCAATTGAATGAAAATGAGCGCAAATCCCAACGCATAATTGACTGTAATCTGTCCTCTGTATAAGAACCAAAATGGCAAATTTGAAAAAAAGCAGTAAGTTTGGTATTGAGGAAATGTTAATGCACATACTGAAATCACTTTCAGTACACCAGTTGCATAAATAAAGTGCTAGTGCATATTTTCTGCTTTGTGCTCAAACTCAATACTGTCCCAATTTTTTAATTGATTCTGTATATTTTGAAAAATCTGAACATGAGCTGTAAGGCTCTAAAGGCTGCAAAGATGAAACTTGGGGCCTTCGGTATGGTGCTACCATTGGAATATTGAGATCCAAAGGTTGTTTTATAGTTTCTTATATAAGTATTGTTACTCAGATAGTTTGCACTTTTTTATGCTATTTTATGCTCCGGTTTTGCCAGGATTTTTGTGCATGTGTGTATTGTGGTGGTAGGATAGTTTAGGGTGTGAAGCAGCTAAAATGACTATGTATTGCATTTTAAAAGACTAATTTCTTTCCTGGTTGGTTAATACAATAATACATTTAATTCATAGTTTAAGAGCCCAGTTCCCACTGTCAAGGATGGTGCCTCAGGCACCAATCATTATAACCTACTTATAGAGAGAAACTAGTGAAAAATCGGGTGACCACAGAATACAGTGAACCTGTGTTTTGGGGACTAAGGCTTGAGAAAAACAGGTTTAACTGGGGGAAAAGGTGACTACCGAGGCTTTTGACCCTGTGCGGCTTCTGACATATTTTTTCAGTTTATTCATTTAGCTATTGTGAATAACCTTAGAAAGGTCATAGGGCAAATGTAAATCTGTCTCTCCAATGAAACTTCATACCATCAGCGCCAGACTGTGGTTTAAAGCAAGTTGTTGCGAATGCTAGGAAAACATGTTCATATCTTGGTTTAATGAGATATTTCCAAATGTACCATATAAAACTTGCATTAATTGGGTTGTCATTGGAAAGGATCTTTAACACATAGAGATACTTGCATCAATTTGGTGCGTACTGCATGTGTCCGAACTGATCCTGTCTTCTAAAATTATGATACCTTTCAAAATGCCTAATATGTGAAATCATATGTATAACGGCTCCTGAATGTTTTCTCCAGATCAGAAAAAATCACGCTTCAACTGATGCCTTCGATGTCTTTTATATTTAATGTCTTCTTCTTCTCAAGAATTAGGACATTTTACCATCACAAACATCAAATGGACACCGTGAAAAAACTGAAAATAAACCAAAATTACAATCAAATTTGTGAAGAAGTGATTTTTCCATGACGTTATTCAAATTAGCTTATTACTTCAAATCAATACACATCAATACACATAAACGATAAACAAGATATGTACAAACATACCGTGTGCCTTCTAATCAGGATTCAGGAGACATTAGGAGACATATTTTGATCAAAACTCTTCTTAATTTCACACCTCTCAATTCGTGTGCGACACCTCATGTCTCTCAGTTTCTTCTTTCTTTCCGTGTTCACGCAAAATCAAATCACATGACCAGTACGTCTTATGTCACTCATTTTCTCCAGTAGGTGTCACTATTACCAAACTATCATGCAAATAAAATACAATTCCCAAAAGAGTATTATACAACATTAATAAAACAAACAAAACAAAACTTTCAAAAGAAGATGAATATTCAGCAAGAAAATACACTATGTGCGACAGCTACACTGCCACCAAAATTACAAAGGATTTATGTCAGTAATATCTTGAACAAATTAAATGAATCCTGTAATTTTCTTATGAGCTGTCACTTAACTTGCATTCATCTTTCAACACTTTCACAACCAGTGTTATTTAACCATTATTTGAATTAAACTATTTTAGATGCGTCAAAACTAATCCGTTTAATCCCATTTTGAGGTTTCACGCATTATTTAAGAGTTGTTTTCAACTATTACTACTAATTTTTGGATTGGACGCTCCAAAAGGGATATTTGTGTCAGTCGCTCACCCTTTTTTCCTAACTTCCTTTGTCCCATTTGGAGTTTAACCTTTCGCACCAACCCATCATCGTCTGCACTTGTCTCAACGACTCTAGCTAGTCTCCATTCATTTCTGGGAACATTGTCCTCTTTGAGAATTACTACATCTCCAACATGAACATTTCTTCTAGGCCTGTGCCATTGCTGTCTGAGGCTTAAGTTGGCCAGGTATTCTTTGCGCCATCTGCCCCAAAACTGTTCCGACAGGTACTGCACTCTCCTCCATCTTTTCCTAGCATACAAATCTTCCTGAACAAATTTGCCAGGAGGAGGAAGAGGCACTGAGGTCTTCATCGTGAGCAAATGATTAGGAGTCAAAGGCTCAATGCTCTTTGGGTCATTTATTGTGTTTGTGGTAAGCGGACGACTATTTACAATTGACATTGCCTCGTAGAAAAATGTTCTTAATGAAGTGTCATCCAGTCTTCCTTTAGCTTGTGCCAGAACAGCGTTCATCACACTCCTTACAGTCCTTATTTGGCGTTCCCACACACCTCCCATATGGCTTGCTTCAGGAACATTCATAAGGAAGTCACATTGTTTGCTTGCAAGATAGGTAGTGATCCTCTCTTGATCCAGATCTTTCAAACCTTTCTCCAGCTCGTTCTTAGCCCCCACGAAATTCGTGCCTTGGTCGGATCTGATCTGTCGCACAGCTCCTCTGATTGCTATGAAACATCTTAAGGCATTCAGAAATGCATCGGTGGAAAGATCTTCTAGCATCTCTAAATGTACAGCCCTGGAACTCATGCACGTAAACAACAGTCCATACCTCTTGAATTCTTTCCGACCTTGTTTTGTGTAGAAGGGGCCGAAACAGTCGATACCAGAATACGAGAATGGAGGTGAGGGTTCCACTCGGTCAGCTGGAAGGTCAGCCATACGTTGTTCTTCGACTGATCTACGCATCTTTCTGCAAGTAACACAATTTTTGATGTTCTTAGCCACTACATTGCTTGCACCTAATATCCAATATCCATTGGCTCTGAGCTCATTCAAGGTTTGACCTCGGCCCTGATGTTGAGTTTTCTTGTGACAATGGTCAAGTATTAGTTGTGTGACGATGCCTTCCTTAGGAAGAATTACTGGATGTTTCAACTCAAATGCTGCACTAGACTTTCTTAATCGTCCTCCAACTCTAAGCAGTTCATTCTCGAGAATGGGATCAAGTTGGTATAACTTGTTATTCTTTGGCAGCTTAGCAGGGTTTTGACTCAGCAATTTCAGTTCTTCTGTTTCTCCTCTACACTAATGGACCCTGACTTGTCTTTGTTTACCAGTCTTTTGATCCTAGCAATAGTTTGGAGAGCTTTATTCCAATCTGAGAATCTTGAGAGTCTTTCAAGAAAGCTACCTCTTACACAGGAATCTGTTTTCAGGACCTTTACCTCAGGATCACCTACAAGAAGCACTGGGGATTTTTCATGAGTGCTAATCTCTCGTTCCCATAAGAACTTGGGACCTGTTAACCAACTTGAATCCATCAGGTCTGCCACCTTGAGACCCCTAGATGCACAATCTGCAGGATTTTGACTTGTTTCCACGTAGAACCATTGTCTTGGATCTGAAGAGTCTCTTATTTTCTGTACACGGTTAGATACAAAGACATGGAAGCGCCGGGCCTCGTTCTTGATATACCCCAGCACCACCTGGGAATCAGTCCAGAAAAACTCCTCATTTACCTTCAGATCAAGCTCTTCTCTAAGAACATGACTTACTGCCGCAGAAACTGTGGCTGCGGTCAGCTCAAGGCGTGGTATGCTGAAAACCCTTGAAGGAGCTACTCTGGCCTTACCCATGATCAGTGCACAATGTACTTGTTCATCAGCAACAATCCTGATGTATGAACACTGGCCATAACCCTCGCTGCTAGCGTCTGAAAAATGATGTAGCTCTATTTTCTGAATTCTGCCTATATTTCCAGGAATTAAGCATCGTGGTATTTTGACCTTTTGGAGATTCTTCAAGTCATGAATCCATGCATCCCACTTTGGCTTCAGATCAGAGGGAAGAGCTTCATCCCATCCTACCCCTCGTTTGCACATCTCCTGGAGCACTCTCTTCCCAGTCAAGATATAGGGAGCGAGAAAACCTAATGGATCGTACACACTGGCAACAACTGACAGAATTCCTCGTCGAGTGGCAGCCTTTTCGTTCAGGTCAACTTTGAAGGAGAATGTATCAGTCTCTATGTTCCACTTTACTCCCAGTACACTCTGCATTGGAAGCTCATTGTAGTTTAGATCGACATCCTTCACTACACTGGCACGTTCGCTCTCTGGAATTGCATTCAATACTTCTCTGCTATTAGACACAAACTTGTGTAAACGCAGTTTTCCCTTAGCCAAGGCTTCTTGCGCTTCACTAACCAACTCGTTGGCCTTCTCAATGGAATCAACGCTGACAAGTCCATCATCCACATAGAAATTTTTGCGAATGAAGCTCGCTGCCAGTGGATAGTCCTTCTCATATTTGCTGGCAAGATATTTCATGCCGTAGTTCGCACAACCTGGAGAGGAGGCAGCTCCAAAGATATGCACTCGCATGCGGTATTCCTTGGGTTCCCTTTCGGTGTTCCCGTCTTCCCACCATAGGAATCTCAGGAAATCACGATCATCTGGACTGACGTGAAAGCGGTGGAACATCTTCTCCACATCACAGGCAATCGCAATCTGATGCTCACGAAATCTGCACAAAACTCCAGTTAGAGCATTTGTTAAGTCTGGTCCTGTGAGTAAGTGGTCATTTAGACATGTACCTTCAAATTTGGCTGAGCAGTCAAATACCACTCTTATTTTTTCCGGCTTTCTGGGATGGTACACCCCATGGTGCGGAATGTACCATACATTGCCTTCTTTTGATGTAGCATCTGCTTCTTCGGCATCACCATCTCTAAAGATACTATCCATAAATCTCAGATAATCTTCTCTGTACTTGGGATTTCTCTCCAGTTTTCTTTTCAAATGTTTCAAACGAACCGTAGCAAGCTGCTTATTGTTCGGTAATTGAGGACGCTCTCTGAAAGGTAAGGGCATTTCCACATGTCCTTCTTTGTTGTGTTGAGTCATTTTATCCAACTGTTGAAGAAATTGAATGTCCTCCTGAGATATTGTCTTTTCTCTTGAGTCTGTATCCCGAAAATCTGCTTCTAACGTCCTTATTACAGCAGCAGGAGTGATTGCCGGGAGTTCCTTCACAGAAATGCGATGACAGAATCCTGCTATGTTTCTAGAGCAAGTATGGGGTGTTATGGATCCCACTATACTCCAGCCTAAGTCTGTTTTGACTGCGTATGGTTCATGATCCTTCCCTGATATCACCTGGGTTGGCTTCAGAGCTCTTGGACAATCAAAGCCAATTAGAAGACCTACAGGACAATTTAACAAATCTGGCATCTCGTCTGCAACACTGAGCAGATGCATCCATTTCTGAGCCTTTTTGCAAGTAGGAATGCTATCTCGTTCCAAGGGAATGTATTCTCGAGTGTATACGGGTGGCAACTCGATGTACTCTTGCAGACTATAACCTCTCACTCTTAGTCCAATAGCTCTCTGACAATTCTCTATTGAAGCTCTATCAGTCATTGTGGACAGCTTTAATTTCACAGGTTCTGTGTTTGCTTGAAGTTTATCACAGATGTCTTGATTGATAAAGGTATTACTGCTCTGCGTGTCCAGCAATGCGTAGGCTAAGATTTCTGTGCTGTCCTTTGTAGCACAAGAGAGCCATACTGGAACAATCATCGAAGTGTGATTACCATTATCCATCTCCACACTGCATAAGCTAGTGGAAGCCCTTTCATCAGATGAATCTTCTGGCTTTCCTCCTTGAGAGCGTTCTTCGTGAAGTGGAGAGGGGTGACTCTGCCTGCAGATGTTGCAAGTAGCTCGCTTTCTACAGTTTTTAGAGACATGGCCGACTCTGAGACAAGCAAAGCACATCTTGTTGTTGAGGACAAACCTTTTCTTCTCCTCAAGAGGCATAGCTGCAAACCTTTCACATTTGTATATGAAATGATTTTGCTGACAGCAGACACATTCTATTTGTCTATTATCCCGAGTGACCGAAGGGCTTGGTTTGGAGCCTTTCTCTCTTTCCAATGCACTCCTTGCAATGGGTTTAACATTTTGTGTCAGAGCACTGGCCTTGATACGTTTCTGCTCCTTGTCAGACTTTTCATCTGCATGTTTTAAAGCAAATAGAGAGGAAACAGGATTACATGCAATACGTGCCTCCTCTGCCACAAAGTCTGCAAACTCAGTGAAGCTGGGGTATGGCTTCTCTTCATCTAATGCCTTAGTGACATACCTATTCCAGCGAGTTGTTATCCAGTCAGGAAGTTTCTGAAGCAATTTCTGGTTTTCTTCACAATCGTCCAAAACCCTCAAACCATGCACATGAGGCATTGCATTTTTGCAAGAGATGAGGAAATCACTAAACTCCCTTAATTTCAGTGATTCTTTGGGTCCAAGTTTTGGCCAATTGTTTAGCTTTGTTCTAAACGCTCTTTGAACTACAAAGGGGTGTCCATAACGTTTGTTCAGGGCATCCCAAGCTTGTGTGTAAGCATCCTCATCACTCCTATAAAATGTTCCCTCTAGTACACTAAGCGCATCTCCACTTATGTATCTTTTCAGATAGAACAAGCGATGTCCTGGGCTTGTACAGTTTGTTTCGATCAAGGCTTTAAAGCAGGTGCACCATTCAGTGAACTTAAGTGGATCACCCGTAAACGTGAATGGCTCTGGAGCTGGAAGTTTAGTCATTGCCAGGGATTCTTTTAGAGCTTTCACTAACAAGACATCATCTACTCTTTTCTCAAGCTCATTTTCAGAGCAAGGTTGAGCTAAAGTTTCTTGGGAAACCTTGATGCTTGAAACGTTTTCGTGATGCAGTGGAAACTGACTTGGAGGCATGGTGCTTCTTTCTTTAGCATCTCCTATTTCAGCATTCAGTCTTGATTCCTCTTCTGCATACACACTGTATTCAGCTTCCATTACTTCAAGATCCCTTTGTTCCTCCAGCATTTTTAACCTCTCTTGTTGGGCTAGTACCTCTTTTCTTTGAGCTGAGATTTCTTTTTCTCTCTTTAGTTCAGCACGTTTCGCAGCCAAGCGTGCCGCTGCTTCCGCCCTTTTTGCTGACATATGACTTCCTTGCTGACTATCTCGTTCAGCTCTCGACACAGTTGAACCATAAATTGACCTGGCGTCATCTCTTTGCAGTAACTGAAGGAGTGTTTCCTTTACAGCTTCAGCATCAAACTCCTTTGTGCCAACTTCTGCGCATCGTCTTTTCAGTAGTGTAGTTATTTCACTAGTAACTGAAGTGCAGCTATCCATTCTCCTTCTTATATCTTGAGATGGTACGTTCAGTGCGCGAATACTCTCATAAATTTGTTTTAACTCTGCTTCACGTTTCTCTGCCGTCACTATCATATCATCTAACTCAGTTTGAGAGCACTCTTCTTTCAGTTTAGATCTGACAAATTGAGCTTCAGCTTTAAAGTTTAAGTAAATGAACATAAACTTCCGTTCTCTTTTTGCCAACTCGTCATGTTTAAACTCAAGCATTTTTTCTGTAGGACGCCTTTCTCTTTCTGATCGCCTAACTTCTTGCTCAACTTGTGATGATAATTCCTGGAATCTCGTCTTATTAACTTCCAGATCTGCATTAATTTCAGCTAAGCGTTGTTCACATTTTTCTCTACCAGAGGCATCAATTTCCGTTTCTAATTTCCCCTCTAATTCTGCCTTTTCTTCTTCAAGAGCTTGAATCACTTGGTCTAAGACACAAATGTCTGATCTATTTTGATCCATGTTCGTAACTTGATGTATACCACACTATTAAGCTTTAAACACTGATAACAAGCTGTAATGTGGAAATTGCAAAATGTCAGTTTTTAAACAAGTTACACACTTCTATCTATTTAGAAAATTATCAAATGCAAATATTTGTTTAAACTATTTGCACAATTTCAACCAGAATAAATGTTAAGGCAACCAAGAAATTAAATTTCAAGTTGAAAAGACACAGTCTGACCTTCAAATCCAAAGGTAGCAACTCTTATTGACAGCTACATTGTCCGAAAACTTTGCAATGTTGCCGCCTTGTGGCTGTCGGTCGTCACTGCAGCAATATCTTCTTGCGTTGCACTTCAGCACGGCAAGGGATGCAGTCACGCGAAAGGCAATAGAGTTTCAATGCGACGAAATCGCGTTG